TCCTCCCAACCATCCGTCCGTCCTCCCAACCATCCGTCCGTCCTCCCAACCATCCGTCTGTCCTCCCAACCATCCGTCCGTCCTCCCAACCATCCGTCTGTCCTCCCATCCATCCGTCTGTCCTCCCAACCATCTGTCCGTCCTCCCAACCATCCGTCCGTCCTCCCAACCATCCGTCCGTCCTCCCAACCATCCGTCCGTCCTCCCAACCATCCGTCCGTCCTCCCAACCATCCGTCCGTCCTCCCAACCATCCGTCCGTCCTCCCAACCATTCGTCCGTCCTCCCAACCATCCGTCCGTCCTCCCAACCATCCGTCCGTCCTCCCAACCATCCGTCCGTCCTCCCAACCATCCGTCCGTCCTCCCAACCATCCGTCCGTCCTCCCAACCATCCGTCCGTCCTCCCAACCATCCGTCCGTCCTCCCAACCATCCGTCTGTCTTCCCAACCATCCGTCCGTCCTCCCAACCATCCGTCTGTCCTCCCAACCATCCGTCCGTCCTCCCAACCATCCGTCCGACTTTCAATCCACCCGTCCGTCTTTCAATCCATCCGTCCGTCCTCCCAACCATCCATCCGTCCTCCCAACCATCTGTCCGTCCTCCCAACCATCTGTCCGTCCTCCCAACCATCCGTCCGTCCTCCTCCCACCATCCGTCCGTCCTCCCAACCATCCGTCCGTCCTCCCAACCATCCGTCCGTCCTCCCAACCATCCGTCCGTCCTCCCAACCATCCGTCCGTCCTCCCAACCATCCGTCCGTCCTCCCAACCATCCGTCCGTCCTCCCAACCATCCGTCCGTCCTCCCAACCATCCGTCCGTCCTCCCAACCATCCGTCGTCCTCCCAACCATCCGTCCGTCCTCCCAACCATCCGTCCGTCCTCCCAACCATCCGTCCGTCCTCCCAACCATCCGTCCGTCCTCCCAACCATCCGTCCGTATTCCCAACCATCCGTCCGTCCTCCCAACCATCCGTCGTCCTCCCAACCATTCGTCCGTCCTCCCAACCATCCGTCCGTCCTCCCAACCATCCGTTCGTCCTCCCAACCATTCGTCCGTCCTCCCAACCATCCGTCCGTCCTCCCAACCATCCGTCCGTCCTCCCAACCATCCGTCGTCCTCCCAACCATCCGTCCGTCCTCCCAACCATCCGTCCGTCCTCCCAACCATTCGTCCTTTAATTCATGCATCCATAAGCCCACTTTTCCGTCCGTTCGTCCGTCCTCTCATTCATACATCCGTCCTCTCATTCATACGTCCGTCCTCTCATTCATACGTCCGTCCTCTCATTCATACGTCCGTCCTCTCATTCATACGTCCGTCCTCTCATTCATACAGCTGTCCTCTCATTCATACGTCCGTCCTCTCATTCATACAGCCGTCCTCTCATTCATACGTCCGTCCACTCATTCATACAGCCGTCCTCTCATTCATACGGCCGTCCTCTCATTCATACAGCCGTCCTCTCATTCATACGGCCGTCCTCTCATTCATACAGCCGTCCTCCCATTCATACGGCCGTCCTCTCATTCATACAGCCGTCCTCTCATTCATACGGCCGTCCGCTCAAACATATAGACATAGAAACACACACATGTTTACAAACACTAGACGGTGTCTTATCGCGACATTTGAGAACCGTCTACTGAAATCAACAATTTACGAGATTTCACGTTTACCACATCAAAGAGATCACACACAAATAATAGTATAAATTTGCCGACAACAAGGCAGACATCATAGAAGACAACTAATTCTGGTTTAGTCAATGGCACAGTCAAGAGTCCTATCGCAGATGCCATCTAAGCATTGAGACAACTATCATAGAGAGCAATGCAACCTGATAAGACTTGGGTTCTCCTTAAAACTACGGCCACTTATTATGGAGTACACCGGAGTTCAGTCCCCTGGCCGCATTGCAATTACGGAGTGAAAAAGAGGGAGCGAATCAGATGACGTAATTACTGTTTGTTGGGTAGGGTTAGGGTTAGGGGTAGGGTTAGGAGTGGCCGTTGTTTTAAGGAGTACCAATACCCTAACCCAAACCCTAACCCTATTATGACAGCAGTGAATCTATCGCCAACACACAGTAATTTAAATTACTTCATAAGTTCACGCTGTCTATCGCCAACACACAGTAATTACGTCATTTGCTTCGTTCCCTCCGTAACTGCAATGCGGCCAGGGGACTGAACTCCGGCGTACTCCATAATAAGTGGCCGCAGTTTTAAGGAGAACCTAAGACTTGTATGTTGACATTCATAGACCAGGAAAAAATCTTGGATAGTCGACAGGACTATGTTTTCAGAATGTATAAAGGAAAATGGAATCAACAGTCACCTCATTAATATTTGCAAAAGCCAGCACACACGTAGAAAATGTTGTATACGATCGAAGGCATAATTGTCAAGAACTTTTATAGTGTCCTTTTGTGTGCGTTAGGGCTGTGTACTATTGCCACTTCTTTTTATCACATACATGGATAATATATGTAGAGAAACAAACTTTACCAGAAACAAACTTTAATTATGAAGAAGATATTACAGAAGTACTCTTCGCCGACGACCAGTTACTCATAGCAGAAAGTACGGAATGTCTACAGAACCAGCTAAATCAAATTAATAACAAAAGGGAGGAACATAATATAAGAATTAATACTACGAAGACAATAAACTAGTTATCCGCTTGTGGGATGCAATTTTTCGTGTTTTGAAGCCCCACAATGGCTCTTGCCGGGCGCTGCAATATAGCTCGGCCATAAATATGGTCTAATGGCTGAACGCGGTTTCCGGAACCTCATCCACATGGTGGCACTTTGTGTCATCGGGTGTTTATCGCTTGTGTGGTGTCCAAGATATTCCCAGAATATCTTGGACAAAGATGATGAAAAATATTGACATCTTAAAAGATCTGAACATCAAGGAAGATTGGGTAATAAACATCATCCTTTCTCGAAAGCTGAAATATTTTGGTCATATCAAACGCCACGACGGTTTGGAAACAATTATAGCAGAAGGCATGGTACCAGGAAGGAGGGGCGGGGGCCGACCGACACGAAGATGGGCACAGGATATAAGTGACTCCTTAAGTGTGAAAGTGCATGAGGCGGGAGAACTGGCGAGAGATCGAGTTTCTTTCAGGCAGACTGTGATGAGAGCGACGTTCTGCAAAGGACCTGCTACATGATGATGATGATGATGTGATGTCCTAGTGGGGTAAAGTTTACTACTACTACTACTACTACTACTACTACTACTACTACTACTACTACTACTACTACTACTACTACTACTACTACTACTACTACTACTACTACGAAGACAGAGACAATGATTATAGGAAGACTAGAAGGCAATTTATAAATAAAATTTTAAAAACAACGCTTTAAGAAACACAGAAATTCAAGTTTTTGGGAGCATGTTTTCACATCAGAAGGAAAACTGGACAGAGAAATTAGCTCGAGATGTATTAAATTTATTCAAGTAATGGGGCAACTATCTCCTTCGTTGACACGGAAGCAGATACACAGGAGTACTGAAGTGAATATTACGAGAACTATTTTTTGGCCAACACTATGCTATCAGTGTCAAATGTAGACACTGACATACTCTAATGAACGTAGATTTATGACAACAGATGAAATGCCTTAGAAGAGCTGCAGGAGTTACAAGGACAATTAAAATACGAAATCAGACGATTGCTAGGAATGAAGCCAGTCTAACAGGTCATCAAGGACAACAATTGAAGTTGTTTGGAAATCTAATAAAAATACCATGGTACTGTCATTCAAAGCGAGCTACACTGAAACGTTATAACGGGTATAGAGCGAGGGTAAGACCTCGTTAAAGTGCAGTGGTGGCATAAAGAACAACCTTACAGAAATGAACATTAATCTAGATAGTGCACTTGACAGAGCTCATCAAGAAACGTTACATCTATCCCTGACACTTCAATGAGGTACAAGGTGGACGAGAAGTATGAGAAAAATAGTTCCCCGACTCCAGCGATTTCCGCTCCTTCATTTTGCCGAGCTCGGCGTAGTGTCAAGCAGTGTACACGCAGGGCTGCCGAAGTTGGTACTTTTGTACAAATTTGGCTCTATTCGACCCTTGCCGGGGTAAACTATTCTTGGGACCACGTTTGATGTGTTGGTACGTTTTAGAACTGCTACATCAGTACCTTAGTGTGCCGTTATGTTAAACATTTTTCGAAAATTGTTTTCCAATCAGCTAAAAGTAAGTTCACACATTTTGAGGCAAATGTACCATTAGATGAGATTTTCAAGCGCGCTTTGGTTTCAGCTTTTTAAACGTCCGCGTTGGAATGTTTTTCCTAAAGATAGATAACTGTCAAATAGTTCACTTTCATATCTTTTTTTAGCAGTATAACTCTAATTTATTTTATGCTCAATCTTTCCGATTCAGTTTTATTTCGAATTCTGACATTTGGGTATCAGTAAATTTCTTTTAAATTGCTGTCTGGATTTGACAATATAAACATTTAAAATGGCTTTTCTTTGAAGACTTTAACACTAAATGCATTGATGAGATATAAGTTATTGCTCCAGGACACAATGGCTTGGTAACAAACTGCGGGGGTTGGTATGGAATAATTTTAAATTTGATATATATATATATATACAAACTGGCTGACCTTACATTTGATCAAATTTAAACAGACGTTCAAACATCTTTAAACACACACACAAATGTGTGTGTGTTTAAAGATGTTTGAACGTGTGTGTGTGTGTGTTTTCAATATGGCACCTTTTAGTTGGTTTTTTGGTACCTTTTCTAAAAGAATTTAGTGCTATGACCAAGATACTTTCGGCAGCCCCGTGCACACGTAGCAGAACAAGCAGACTGCAAGGACAAGAAAAAAGGGAAAGTTAGCCGGCCTGTTGTGTGTGTTGTCGGTCGGCGGTATATTATTGTTCTTTTTGCTGTGAGCTAGTAGATGTTATCACGCGGCAAGGAGAGAACATACTCGCCTGACATCATGAAAACAATAGCCACAGAGGTAAGGCTAGAAACTTAAACATTGTCATTGATATCAGTCTCTAACACAAAGTGAAAGTGGGCACTACCGCCACACAGAGTGTATAGTACCCACTGGTAAATTCTGCTGCAACTACACAGCAGAGATTGTAGCACTAGAGCAGGCAGGAAGAGAATGCAGTAACATACTATGAGAAGAAAAGGGCCATCCAGGCTATTAGAAGTGAATAGAGTCTGGCCAGAGATGACTACCACATACTTGACTGGCATTGGCAGGTCATTATCCTGCATTTCAGGACAGGATAGGACAACAAACTTAACCAGCATATGCACAAGCTTCGTCTAAGTAGTTCACCTTTTTGGGCTATGTGTGCAGACTACAGAACATGTCCTGCAAGACTGTCCCATTTTCATCCCATTAAGAAGAGAATACTGGCCCAGTGAGTCACCACTGCACATAAAGTTGTATGGGACAAAAAATGAACTCATAAAAACAGTCAAGTATCACAAGAATCTGTCTGACGGTGTAAATCAGAAAGCGAACACAAGAAGATGAAGAATATGTGATGATTGCCTTTAGCTTTTGACTTGACAGTGCTTTAACAAACAAGTTTTTTGAGTGCATTTTTATGACTTTCTTTCTATTTCAGATTGATCGGATTGAAGAAGAGATTAAAAGATGTGAGACCCGATTGGACGCCATTGAAAGGCTATGTCGATTGACAAATATGACTGGTGAGAAATGGTAAGATGGTGCTCTTTTTGTATCTTCTGTATTTGATCCTAGTTGGTTCATTTTGGATTCTTTTTCAGACATGTCCTGAAATGCTTTGATTTAATCTTTAACACCATTTAAGTTAAGATCTCTTTACTGTTTTGGAATTGCTTTCTGTGTATGGCATAAGGTTACACCTGGTTATTTATTCTTTCTCAACAATCCTCTGTGCCTGTCAGTTTTTTGTGTCTTTGCCATTTTTACTGTCGTTTTAGGCCGAATTGCAGCACCGAGGAAAGGCTGTAAATTTTCATTTCTGCACTTCAGGAGATATGTTAAAGAGACACTGTGGATCACCTGTAACCATCTAGTATTCAATGAGGCAGGTCATTCTGACTAGATTTCTGAGCAAACAAAGCTTATCACAACAAGAACAAGAAGCAGGAGGAGAAAGAGTTTAATGATGTTTAGAATGTTGGCCAATCAGTTCTCTAGATTTAATGAACAAACTTTACTTTCAGTGGATCACAGATTGAGGCCACAGGCCTTTTTTACACAATCATTGTATTATATCTGTAAAGCATGTTGTGTTCATTGAATAATATTCATGGAATGAAATGATGGCATCTTGTGTGTTTATTTAGACCATTCATCATGCAGAACTAGTGCTAGGAAAAGCAGAAGGGGGAGGCTGGGGGTTTGGCATGGCAGAAAGAAATTATATTGACATTAGAGAATAATCCTGGGAGATTAGGATTTAAACAAACCAGGAAGTGGGGGGTTACTGTGAGAGTATATCTATGGAAGGCTGAACTGACTTTAGAGTTGGATCTTAGAAGATGAAGGTAAACAAATTAGGAAGATGGGAAATCTTCCTCACACCCAGAGTTTATCGTAATTTTCCCACAAAATTGGAAGCTTAGAGTAGTTGATATTACTAGCAATCAGTATGCTTACATTGCGTTTTAAATGTCTCATGTCACAGACTGTTGTCATTCGGTCAGTGGTTGTAGTTTTTACGAAGATCCTTGGGGGTCATCACTGGAGCTGTAGGTCATGCTCTGTGTAATGCTGTCAGCAGGTGGCTGACTACTACAGAGAGAAACAGGACCATGTGGGATCATACCGGGTACAATGAAGCCACCTTGACTTGAAGCTGATCCTTACCTCCCTCTCGTTACCATGTGGGATCATGCCCAGTACAATGAAGCCACCTTGACTTGAAGCTGATCCTTACCTCCCTCTCGTTACCATGTGGGATCATACCCAGTACAATGAAGCCACCTTGACTTGACGCTGATCCTTACCTCCCTCTCGTTACCATGTACTTTCTATCCTTTATTGATTGAATCATTGGCACATTTCCAGACAATAATGTTATATTGCGCTATGAAGAGGCATGGAACTCACATCCCATGGCGATGGCAAGTGTGACTAGCAAGACCCGTCTGTGTTTAGAAGTATTCCACAGTTATAGCATGAGATTTCAGGACCGTTGTTGTCAACATTTGTGTTTAGTCTGTTTCTTCTCAGACGCTCAGCTCTCATCCTTTCTGCAATCGTTTCTTCCTTCATTCTTATTCCTTCCTGTTTGCTCCTCCACACAAGATGGTCCATGGCATTTTGTTCCCACGAGTCCACCCCAATATCTGTATCCTTTTATACAACACATACAATAACTGACCACATATTTGTCATTGCTGCTGATATTAATTTGTATTTTTCTTTTAAACTATACAGGGAGTCGATACAAAAAGAAAAGGCTGCTTTGGAAAAGCAAGTGACAGACAAGCGTGAGTGACACACACATTTGGACATTTGTTTGTACTCTGTTGTTACATTGACATGGTTACCCATTTGAAGTAGCAGGAATTACAAGACCTAGTTTTACAGTAGCAGGAATTACAAGACCAAGTAAGGAACCATTGGCAGTAGCAGGAATTACACGACCAAGTAAGGTACCATTAGAAGTAGCAGGAATTACAAGACCTAGTAAGGTACCATTGGCAGTAGCAGGAATTATAAGACCAAGTAAGGTACCATTGACAGTAGCAGGAATTACAAGACCTAGTTTGGCAGTAGCAGGAATTACAAGACCTAGTTTGGCAGTAGCAGGAATTACAAGACCTAGTTTGGCAGTAGCAGGAATTACAAGACCAAGTAAGGTACCATTGACAGTAGCAGGAATTACAAGACCTAGTTTGGCAGTAGCAGGAATTACAAGACCTAGTTTGGCAGTAGCAGGAATTACAAGACCAAGTAAGGTACCATTGACAGTAGCAGGAATTACAAGACCTAGTTTGGCAGTAGCAGGAATTACAAGACCAAGTGAGGTACCATTAGAAGTAGCAGGAATTACAAGACCTAGTAAGGTACCATTAGAAGTAGCAGGAAGGACAAGACCAAGTAAGGTACCATTGGCAGTAGCAGGAATTACAAGACCTAGTAAGGTACCATTAGAAGTAGCAGGAATTACAAGACCGAGTAAGGTACCATTAGAAGTAGCAGGAATTACAAGACCTAGTAAGGTACCATTGGCAGTAGCAGGAATTACAAGACCAAGTAAGGTACCATTGACAGTAGCAGGAATTACAAGACCTAGTTTGGCAGTAGCAGGAATTACAAGACCTAGTTTGGCAGTAGCAGGAATTACAAGACCGAGTAAGGTACCATTGGCAGTAGCAGGAATTACAAGACCAAGTAAGGTACCATTGGCAGTAGCAGGAATTACAAGACCAAGTATGGTACCATTGGCAGTAGCAGGAATTACAAGACCTAGTTTGGCAGTAGCAGGAATTACAAGACCTAGTTTGGCAGTAGCAGGAATTACAAGACCAAGTATGGTACCATTGGCAGTAGCAGGAATTACAAGACCAAGTATGGTACCATTGGCAGTAGCAGGAATTACAAGACCAAGTATGGTACCATTGGCAGTAGCAGGAATTATAAGACCAAGTATGGTACCATTGGCAGTAGCAGGAATTACAAGACCAAGTATGGTACCATTGGCAGTAGCAGGAATTACAAGACCTAGTTTGGCAGTAGCAGGAATTACAAGACCAAGTATGGTACCATTGGCAGTAGCAGGAATTACAAGACCAAGTATGGTACCATTGGCAGTAGCAGGAATTACAAGACCTAGTTTGGCAGTAGCAGGAATTACAAGACCAAGTATGGTACCATTGGCAGTAGCAGGAATTACAAGACCAAGTATGGTACCATTGGCAGTAGCAGGAATTACAAGACCAAGTATGGTACCATTGGCAGTAGCAGGAATTACAAGACCTAGTTTGGCAGTAGCAGGAATTACAAGACCTAGTTTGGCAGTAGCAGGAATTACAAGACCAAGTAAGGTACCATTGGCAGTAGCAGGAATTACAAGACCTAGTAAGGTACCATTGGCAGTAGCAGGAATTACAAGACCAAGTATGGTACCATTGGCAGTAGCAGGAATTACAAGACCTAGTTTGGCAGTAGCAGGAATTACAAGACCTAGTTTGGCAGTAGCAGGAATTACAAGACCAAGTAAGGTACCATTGGCAGTAGCAGGAATTACAAGACCAAGTAAGGTACCATTGACAGTAGCAGGAATTACAAGACCAAGTAAGGTACCATTGACAGTAGCAGGAATTACAAGACCTAGTAAGGTACCATTGACAGTAGCAGGAATTACAAGACCAAGTAAGGTACCATTAGAAGTAGCAGGAATTACAAGACCTAGTTTTACAGTAGCAGGAATTACAAGACCAAGTAAGGTACCATTGGCAGTAGCAGGAATTACACGACCAAGTAAGGTACCATTGGCAGTAGCAGGAATTACAAGACCTAGTTTGGCAGTAGCAGGAATTACAAGACCAAGTAAGGTACCATTGACAGTAGCAGGAATTACAAGACCTAGTTTGGCAGTAGCAGGAATTACAAGACCTAGTTTGGCAGTAGCAGGAATTACAAGACCAAGTAAGGTACCATTAGAAGTAGCAGGAATTACAAGACCTAGTTTTACAGTAGCAGGAATTACAAGACCAAGTAAGGTACCATTGGCAGTAGCAGGAATTACAAGACCAAGTAAGGTACCATTAGAAGTAGCAGGAATTACAAGACCTAGTTTTACAGTAGCAGGAATTACAAGACCAAGTAAGGTACCATTGGCAGTAGCAGGAATTACACGACCAAGTAAGGTACCATTGGCAGTAGCAGGAATTACAAGACCAAGTAAGGTACCATTAGAAGTAGCAGGAATTACAAGACCTAGTTTTACAGTAGCAGAAATTACAAGACCAAGTAAGGTACCATTGGCAGTAGCAGGAATTACAAGACCTAGTAAGGTACCATTGGCAGTAGCAGGAATTACAAGACCTAGTAAGGTACCATTGGCAGTAGCAGGAATTATAAGACCTAGTAAGGTACCATTGGCAGTAGCAGGAATTACAAGACCTAGTAAGGTACCATTGACAGTAGCAGGAATTACAAGACCTAGTAAGGTACCATTAGAAGTAGCAGGAATTACAAGACCAAGTAAGGTACCATTGGCAGTAGCAGGAATTACACGACCAAGTAAGGTACCATTGGCAGTAGCAGGAATTACAAGACCTAGTTTTACAGTAGCAGGAATTACAAGACCTAGTAAGGTACCATTGGCAGTAGCAGGAATTATAAGACCTAGTAAGGTACCATTGGCAGTAGCAGGAATTACAAGACCTAGTAAGGTACCATTGGCAGTAGCAGGAATTACAAGACCTAGTTTTACAGTAGCAGGAATTACAAGACCTAGTAAGGTACCATTGGCAGTAGCAGGAATTATAAGACCTAGTAAGGTACCATTGGCAGTAGCAGGAATTACAAGACCTAGTAAGGTACCATTGACAGTAGCAGGAATTACAAGACCTAGTAAGGTACCATTAGAAGTAGCAGGAATTACAAGACCTAGTTTGGCAGTAGCAGGAATTACAAGACCTAGTTTGGCAGTAGCAGGAATTACAAGACCTAGTTTGGCAGTAGCAGGAATTACAAGACCTAGTTTGGCAGTAGCAGAAATTACAAGACCTAGTTTGGCAGTAGCAGGAATTACAAGACCTAGTAAGGTACCATTGGCAGTAGCAGGAATTACAAGACCTAGTTTGGCAGTAGCAGGAATTACAAATCCTAGTTTGGCAGTAGCAGGAATTACAAGACCAAGTAAGGTACCATTAGAAGTAGCAGGAATTACAAGACCAAGTAAGGTACCATTGGCAAGTAGCAGGAATTACAAGACCAAGTAAGGTACCATTAGCAAGTAGCAGGAATTACAAGACCAAGTAAGGTACCATTGGCAGTAGCAGGAATTACAAGACCTAGTTTGGCAGTAGCAGGAATTACAAGACCTAGTTTGGCAGTAGCAGGAATTACAAGACCTAGTTTGGCAGTAGCAGGAATTACAAGACCTAGTTTGGCAGTAGCAGAAATTACAAGACCGAGTAAGGTACCATTAGAAGTAGCACTAATTACAAGACCAAGTAAGGTACCATTGGCAAGTAGCAGGAATTACAAGACCTAGTAAGGTACCATTGACAGTAGCAGGAATTACAAGACCTAGTTTGGCAGTAGCAGGAATTACAAATCCTAGTTTGGCAGTAGCAGGAATTACAAGACCAAGTAAGGTACCATTAGAAGTAGCAGGAATTACAAGACCAAGTAAGGTACCATTGGCAGTAGCAGGAATTACAAGACCAAGTAAGGTACCATTAGAAGTAGCAGGAATTACAAGACCTAGTAAGGTACCATTGACAGTAGCAGGAATTACAAGACCAAGTAAGGTACCATTGACAGTAGCAGGAATTACAAGACCAAGTAAGGTACCATTGGCAGTAGCAGGAATTACAAGATCTAGTAAGGTACCATTGACAGTAGCAGGAATTACAAGACCTAGTAAGGTACCATTGACAGTAGCAGGAATTACAAGACCAAGTAAGGTACCATTGACAGTAGCAGGAATTACAAGACCTAGTAAGGTACCATTGACAGTAGCAGGAATTACAAGATCTAGTAAGGTACCATTGACAGTAGCAGGAATTACAAGACCTAGTAAGGTACCATTGACAGTAGCAGGAATTACAAGACCTAGTAAGGTACCATTGACAGTAGCAGGAATTACAAGACCAAGTAAGGTACCATTGACAGTAGCAGGAATTACAAGACCTAGTTTGGCAGTAGCAGGAATTACAAGACCTAGTTTGGCAGTAGCAGGAATTACAAGACCAAGTAAGGTACCATTGACAGTAGCAGGAATTACAAGACCTAGTTTGGCAGTAGCAGGAATTACAAGACCAAGTAAGGTACCATTGACAGTAGCAGGAATTACAAGATCAAGTAAGGTACCATTAGAAGTAGCAGGAAGGACAAGACCAAGTAAGGTACCATTGACAGTAGCAGGAATGACAAGACCTAGTAAGGTACCATTAGAAGTAGCAGGAATGACAAGACCAAGTAAGGTACCATTAGAAGTAGCAGGAATGACAAGACCAAGTAAGGTACCATTGACAGTACCAGGAATGACAAGACCAAGTAAGGTACCATTAGAAGTAGCAGGAATTACAAGACCAAGTAAGGTACCATTGGCAGTAGCAGGAATTACAAGACCTAGTAAGCTAAACAGAAAGGACCCTTCTCTTTACCTTCCGGCATATTGGGCATATAGAGCTAGACCTATATTTTATAGACCAATCAGCACTTGATGGGTGATGTCGTCAGCATCGCGCCGGCTGCCACTACTTCCCATGACTTTAGCTGGTACCCATTTGAGGCAGAGATGACCAGGAAACTGAGGCCATTTTAAAAGCAGAAAACTGTAGTGTTTTTTTTTTTCGGATCTGAACCTAGGACCTTTAGATTTGGAGACAAGTGTCTAGCCGCTACACCATGGTGGCTCCCTGCAAAACCTAGTGGAACAATTAGATAATTGAACTTTGGAATATGGATTAGATATTTAAAATAATAAAACTGATAATTAACAATGAAAACAACAAGCACACTGGGAAATAAAACTGATATTTAACAATGAAATCAACAAGCATACAGGGAGATATCACACTGCTTGATGTCCCTGACTTGAGCCAACTACCCACTGGGTTGAGAGGGAGAGGGGGTAGTTTTTGGTGAGTGGACACCTCCCCACCCCCTGCTGCCAACACATGTAGATGTACCTTTCTTAAGCACATTTTTTTTTTTATACATTTCCTATTACTTTGAATGTATAATATTTTATTTGCCACTGAGCGCATAATGATTAGAATAAGTATTACTATTTTTGTTAGTCTGCAATTTAAAAAAGCCCCTCTGAACCCCCCCTCCCGACCCCCACGCTAGCCACTAGACTGTCGTGTCTTCCAGGCCATCATTCTACTGTCTGCTGATAGAGCTGGCTGATCTTGGTTCTCTGACTCATACAGTCATCAGGCTTGGATCTTCTTCTTCTTCTTGGTGTTCTCGGGCTGTCAACTGTGACAGCAGGTTCTAGTTGTTCATCCACTTACAGAACATAACTATTGCATTAACATCCAATTTACAGATCTAACTTATTTGTAGGCAGACTGTTGGTTTCTCTCACCTCTTATCTCATTCTGACTTCTTATTAGTTGCCTTAAACAACATGGTTCTTGGGGTGGGGGTGGTCCGGAACACACTAGATGGGAAAGACTTTGATCAGGTCTATGCTCTTGTCCCAGCAGCTATCTCTCACTGTGTGCCTTGCTGTTACCCTGTTTTCCTTGTTGTGTTTGGTTTCTAATGAAATTGTTGATTGTGTGGTTTTATTTGTAGGTACAAAGCTGAAAGGTCTGCGCTGGGAGAACTGGAGGAGTATGCTTGTGTCCTTGATACTCTTAGGTTTTATGTTTTGTATATTTTATTGTCTCTATTCACCATCATCTGTGACAAGCTCAGCCCAGTCAAGCTGATAGCCTGTATGGCATGCTGATGTGGGACAGGTCAAGGGGAAGACAGTGAGTATAAACCTAGATTCAAGAACACAGACTTGATCTGTAGTTGTGGTGTTCATATGAGATGGCACTTGCTGATATGGCACATGATGAAATGATGGCTAGTCTGGAAAAGAAAGTAGTGATAGGAGACATTCCAGGGAAATGGAGAAGACGGAGACCATTGCTGGCTGCCAGACGGCCAGTCCCTCTGGCTCCTGATATAGACTTTTGGAACATTCATATATAGGAACACCTGTGTGCAAGACAAGTTAGTGAATGTTAAAATAACTGACATCTGAGTTTGACACTGATGATGTGATAAATGTTGCATTATCTTATCTTATTTGTTGTGTAAATAAACTTCTGATTTCAATGAGCTCATAGTAACATCATTTTTTTGTTATTATTGAAACATTGATTGCTGGTTTATAACATCTCTAATTCCACCGGCACTCATCCGTTTGCTGCCTTAAAGTTACAGCTTTTTGTCCCATCAAAGTTACAGCTCTTTGTCCTATCAAAGTTAGAGCTCTTTGTCCCATCAAAGTTGCATCTCTTTGTCCTATCAAAGTTAGAGCTCTTTGTCCTATCAAAGTTACAGCTCTTTGTCCCATCAAAGTTACAGCTCTTTGTCCTATCAAAGTTAGAGCTCTTTGTCCCATCAAAGTTACATCTCTTTTTCCTATCAAAGTTAGAGCTCTTTGTCCTATCAAAGTTACAGCTCTTTGTCCCATCAAAGTTACAGCTCTTTGTCCTATCAAAGTTACAGCTCTTTGTCCTATCAAAGTTACAGCTCTTTGTCCTATCAAAGCTACAGCTATTTGTGTCATCAGATTTACAGCCTTTTTATGTAGCAGCATGGACGTTAAACCAGCAACAATCACATGTATAGCCTGGAAATACCTTTTATGCAAAAGCATAGGTCTAACTTAATGGACAAAAACAAATATCAGCGCAATGTTTCCCTGTCATAAATTTTAACAAAGAAGACACAAACAATAGATTGCACAATTTATTGCCTTGCATATTTCGCTGTATCTCGTCAGGTGCATACTACAGTAACAATTACATAAATGAAGCAAATATAAGCCAAATCAAATTGTATCAACCAATTTAAATGTAGCTGTGAAGCTACTTATGTGGGCAGAACTGATCGACGCCTGGAGAAACAAGTCGCTGAGCACATTCCAGTATGGGTGGGAAAAGCCATGCAAAATAATATTCAAAATGAGAATACTGGCCGCAAAGATCACCCCCCTGCAATAGCACGCCATCTTCTAAAATCTGGACACGTGGTGACTAAAGACAAATCATTTCAAATTCTTCATACGTCAACCAATGTCGGAGCGCAAAGATTTCTCGAAGCTTCCGCAATTCGTCACCTGCGCTCGGAACTCTGTATTCAGAAAGAGATGGTTCTGTCTTTACTGCTGCCCTGGTAAAAACAGGCAGTCATGTTTGATCGTTGTTGAAATTGTACTTCAGTTATAAAGGATTCACTTATTTGCTTCTTTTATGTAATTGTGCAATCTATTGTTTGTTTCTTTTTTGTTCAAAAACAAATATAGAAGTTAGAGTCACTAGAAATGACAAGGCGGCTGGTGGCAGAAAAAATAAAAGAGACAGAGAGTTTAGTAGTTTTAAATTGCTTGACATGCAGCTTGTAAAAACTTTAGTAGAAGCAAACTTTGAATGCAAATGAGCAAGAGGTACTCACATAACACATGCTGACGTAGATAAGACACTGTCATAGACTGTATATTTTCTGAAACTGCATATGGCTTGTCTTGTAGGACCCTGACAGTGAAATCTATTCCACACACACTGAACCCATACACATACAGAGCACACAATAATCTTTATTGCAAAGAACAATATAATATAGCGGAACGTACCCCTATCCTAAATGAAGGGCATGAAGGCTTTACAAATCACCTCTTACGTTCCCATGGCTAGTACTGGGTTCAAACCCATGCCATTTCCGTACAGCCCCTGCTCAATGTGATAATGACTACACAAATCTGACTGTTCCCCTGGCACTCTGACCTATTCATCTCCTCGCTTAATGTTCTCTAGGTTTCAAATCTATCTGATTGTCACTTCTGCCTGAGCCATCCATGATTCCCTCTTATCAACCACTGACCCTTGACTGCGTTCAGAGCTTCGTGCAAAGGGTGATCTGTGTCTGCAGCTACTCTGAGATATGATTTTGCTTGCAGCACTTTCAGCTTACCGGCAACAGTCGGCAAACCAAGGATATAATGCATACACATCACTGGAGTGTCTCTGGTACAACCTAGAATGACCCAATTAGCTGCATTCTGTATTCGCTCTAGTTAATCCATCTGCCTCTTTGAAAGTGTAAGCCGTCCTAGTCCATAATCAGTCACTGAACGGATCAGATGTTGATATAATGGGAAAAGAATTCTCAGCTCTGTGTTCATTGCAGCCATAGTCTTGATTGCACTAAGTCCTTTTTGGCATCTTATCACTACCATCTCAGCATGGTCTTTGAAGGGCAGGTTCTGCCAAATGTGATTCCCAAATACTTCAGTTTGCTCTCTGATGTTTCTACCATCTATCTTGAGAGCTGGGACCTGAGCTCTAACAATCCTCTTGTCTAGAGAACACCATCAAACAGATGCCTTTTCTGGATGGATGACAGCCCTCCTTTCTGTACGCCAGTCAATCATTTGTCTACTGTCACCTGTAGCTCCCAGGCTGTTCGTTCCCTCTCTCTCTCCCCTGCCTATTTGCGAGTATATCATCTGCAAAAGTCACTATCCTTCCAACTCCAGGTGCTTCTAGGCTTGTAATCGTCTTCGTATACACGTTAAAGAGCACAGTCGAGATGGCGGATACCTGTGGTGGTCGTGGCGGAAGTAAAAATTTAAAAAATTCACGCTTCTTGTAACCAGCTCCTAAGTTGAGCCGCGGTTCTGTCAAAGTTGTGTGTTGCTGAGTGGAATTAGTTTCACATTTTCTTCCAGTCTAGATTTGCAGCATATCATCACGCCTGAGTTTTCTAAGAATCATCCACCGGTGTCTGTGCTGCTGCTTTAGGTTTTCCTCGCTGGTTGTCAAGCCCGCTATCCTTGAGTGCACCAAGGCACCCGCCAGGCACACCACCGCGAAGTAGACAAGTCTGACACGGAGCCGCCATACCACAAACAAGGCCCCCTTCAGGGTTCCATATTTTAATTTTTTTTTCCGCATCACACAAATGTATGTGCGTCAGCGCATTTTTTTTTTCTTTTTCTTTTTTAAGCCTTGACATTTTTTTGGGGAGAAGGGGGGGGGAGGGGGTTTGTCACCACTTTTTTGAACGTTTTCTTCTGGCCACACATGGTAGGGGACATAAGTGAGGCTAGAGTCAGTTAAGAATTAGGGGACATAAGTGAGGATAGAGTCAGTTAAGAAGTAGGGGACAAAAGTGAGGATAGAGTCAGTTAAGAAGTAGGGGACATAAGTGAGGATAGAGTCAGTTAAGAAGTAGGGGACATAAGTAAGGATTCTTTTAAGAAGTAAGGGGGAAAAGTGAGGATAGAGTCAGTTAAGAAGTAGGGGACAAAAGTGAGGATAGAGTCAGTTAAGAAGTAGGGGACATAAGTGAGGATAGAGTCAGTTAAGAAGTAGGGAACATAAGTGAGGATACAGTTGAGAAGTAAGGGGAAAAAGTGAGGATAGAGTCAGTTAAGAAGTAGGGGACAAAAGTGAGGATAGAGTCAGTTAAGAAGTAGGGGACATAAGTGAGGATAGAGTCAGTTAAGAAGTAGGGGACATAAGTAAGGATACATTTAAGAAGTAAGGGGAAAAAGTGAGGATAGAGTCAGTTAAGAAGTAGTGGACAAAAGTGAGGATAGAGTCAGTTAAGAAGTAGGGGACATAAGTGAGGATAGAGTCAGTTTAGAAGTAGGGGACAAAAGTGAGGATAGAGTCAGTTAAGAAGTAGGGGACAAAAGTGAGGATAGAGTCAGTTAAGAATTAGGGGACATAAGTGAGGATAGAGTCAGTTAAGAAGTAGGGGACAAAAGTGAGGATAGAGTCAGTTAAGAAGTAGGGGACATAAGTGAGGATAGAGTCAGTTAAGAAGTAGGGGACATAAGTAAGGATTCTTTTAAGAAGTAAGGGGGAAAAGTGAGGATAGAGTCAGTTAAGAAGTAGGGGACAAAAGTGAGGATAGAGTCAGTTAAGAAGTAGGGAACATAAGTGAGGATACAGTTGAGAAGTAAGGGGAAAAAGTGAGGATAGAGTCAGTTAAGAAGTAGGGGACAAAAGTGAGGATAGAGTCAGTTAAGAAGTAGGGGACATAAGAGAGGATACATTTAAGAAGTAAGGGGAAAAAGTGAGGATAGAGTCAGTTAAGAAGTAGGGGACAAAAGTGAGGATAGAGTCAGTTAAGAAGAAGGGGACATAAGTGAGGATAGAGTCAGTTAAGAAGTAGGGGACAAAAGTGAGGATAGAGTCAGTTAAGAAGTAGGGGACAAAAGTGAGGATAGAGTCAGTTAAGAAGTAGGGAACATAAGTGAGGATACAGTTGAGAAGTAAGGGGAAAAAGTGAGGATAGAGTCAGTTAAGAAGTAGGGGACAAAAGTGAGGATAGAGTCAGTTAAGAAGTAGGGGACATAAGTGAGGATAGAGTCAGTTAAGAAGTAGGGGACATAAGTAAGGATACATTTAAGAAGTAAGGGGAAAAAGTGAGGATATAGTCAGTTAAGAAGTAGGGGACAAAAGTGAGGATAGAGTCAGTTAAGAAGTAGGGGACATAAGTGAGGATAGAGTCAGTTAAGAAGTAGGGGACAAAAGTGAGGATAGAGTCAGTTAAGAAGTAGGGGACAAAAGTGAGGATAGAGTCAGTTAAGAAGTAGGGGACATAAGTGAGGATAGAGTCAGTTAAGAAGTAGGGGACAAAAGTGAGGATAGAGTCAGTTAAGAAGTAGGGGACAAAAGTGAGGATAGAGTCAGTTAAGAAGTAGGGGACATAAGTGAGGATAGAGTCAGTTAAGAAGTAGGGAACATAAGTGAGGATACAGTTAAGAAGTAAGGGGAAAAAGTGAAGATAGAGTCAGTTAAGAAGTAGGGGACAAAAGTGAGGATAGAGTCAGTTAAGAAGTAGGGGACATAAGTGAGGATAGAGTCAGTTAAGAAGTAGGGGACATAAGTGAGGATAGAGTCAGTTAAGAAGTAGGGGACATAAGTGAGGATAGAGTCAGTTAAGAAGTAGGGGACAAAAGTGAGGATAGAGTCAGTTAAGAAGTAGGGAACATAAGTGAGGATACAGTTAAGAAGTAGGGGACAAAAGTGAGGATAGAGTCAGTTAAGAAGTAGGGAACATAAGTGAGGATACAGTTAAGAAGTAGGGGACAAAAGTGAGGATAGAGTCAGTTAAGAAGTAGGGGACACAAGTGAGGATAGAGTCACTTAAGAAGTAGGGGACATAAGTGAGGGTAGAGTCGATTAAGAAGTAGGGGACATAAGTGGGGACAGAGTCAGTTAAGACGTAGGGGACATAAGTGAGGATAGAGTCAGTTAAGAAGAAGGGAAAAAAGTGAGGATAGAGTCAGTTAAGAAGTAGGGGACAAAAGTGAGGATAGAGTGAGTTAGGAAGTAGGGGACAAAAGTGAGGATAGAGTCAGTTAGGAAGTAGGGGACAAAAGTGAGGATAGAGTCAGTTAAGAAGTAGGGGACATATGGGAGGATATAGTCAGTTAAGAAGTAGGGGACATAAGGGAGGATAGAGTCAGTTAAGAAGTAGGGGCCAAAAGTGAGGATAAGAGTCAGTTAAGAAGTAGGGGACATAAGTGAGGAGAGAGTCAGTTAATAAGTAGGGGACATAAGTGAGGATAGAGTCAGTTAAGAAGTAGGGGAAAAAAGTGAGGATAGATTCAGTTAAGAAGTATGGGGGAAAAAGTGAGGATAGAGTCAGTTAAGAAGTAGGGGAAAAAAGTGAGGATAGAGTCGGTTAAGAAGTAGGGGACATAAGTGAGGGTAGAGTCAGTTAAGAAGTAGGGGACATAAGTGAGGAGAGAGTCAGTTAATAAGTAGGGGACATCAGTGAGGATAGAGTCAGTTAAGAAGTAGGGGAAAAAAGTGAGGATAGAGTCAGTTAAGAAGTAGGGGGAAAAGTGAGGATAGAGTCAGTTAAGAAGTAGGGGGGGGGGGAGTGAGGATAGAGTCAGTTAAGAAGTAGGGGAAAAAAGTGAGGATAGAGTCAGTTAGGAAGTAGGGGACAAAAGTGAGGATAAAGTCAGTTAGGAAGTAGAGGGACAGATATGAAGATAGAGTCGGTTGAAGGTTGCAAGTAATCACAGTAAGGTCGGAAGGTGGAGATCATGAGGACAACTTTGACAGTTCTTGGTTTTATGGCCTCTTAGGTGTTATTCCCACTTCCGAGTCGTCAGCTTCAGTGGGTCTGATCAATATAATGTGTGATTATGAGGTCCCTGAACCCAGACCTAGAACAACCCGGTGAGAATACAGGACAGCTGCAACCTAATTCACCAACCAGACACTGACCTTCTTCATAAACGTCAAAAGCAGGAGTAAAGGCAAGACGGGCGTTTAATCAGAATGTTACTGGCTGCATTGGTATTGGAAGATAGGGACTGAGTGCTTATGCGAAAGCCCTGATTGCTGTTATGTTGGTTCTTCGTATATATCAGTGTGTATCATCGCTTGTCGATTTTTGAGTTTACTAGTGAAGTGCTTGGCACATTGATGATTGTAATTGTTTTGTTATCTGTGAACAGCGCTTAGTGTTGTGTTCACTCAAGTAAAATAATCATCTTTTTATTGTGGTATTTATAGTTCTAGTTGTTTTGATTCGGATTAGGTTTTGTGGTTAGTGTGCCTAGCCTACTGTTACTGCTATCTAGACTGTACACAAAAGATCTCATGTCTTGTTACTTAGGCTTTCGCTTCTAGCACATTAGCGTCCGCTGAAAAAAGCATAATTGAACACATGCATTTCACTGTGCAACGATTTAATTATTATTATATGTACATAGTTAAGTCGATGGTGTTATTTTAGGACAAGTACAGAAATTTAAGTATCTGGGCACATGGATAACGTCAGATGGAATATGCATAACTGAGATAAGAAACAGAATAGAACAGGCACATTTTTAAAATAAAGAATATCTTATGCAATATATCCTTGTCGTTGAGTTAGAAAAAGAATTCTTGCTTGCTACATACATCCAGTTTTAACATATGGCTGTGAATCCTGGACAATCGGTAGGCAGGCCAAACAATTTATGGAGGCCTCAGAGATGTGGTTTTACAGAAGAATGCTTAGAATACCTTGGACAGCCAAAAAGAGCAACCAAAAGGTTTTAAAAGAGGCGGGAGCCCGAAGACAACTTATCACAGACATCAGAAGGAGACAGTCATCATTTTTCGGCCATGTTATGAGAAGAGGGAAAATAGAACAAGTTGTGACCATTGGAAATTTCGGTGGAAGGAGGGATAGAGAAAGACAACAAGTGAAGATTCTTGACAGTCTTGTTGCATGGCATGGAGGTGTGTGGGCACACGAACTGATACATGCTGCCGGAGATCGTGGATTATGGAGAGGCATGGTCGCCCACGCCAGTCAGCAAGGCACCTGATGATGAAGACAGTTAGGTCGGGACCGTCGGTAAAAACCTTGGTTCCCAGTTAAGCAGTGTTTTACTATAATGTGCTTCTTTGATTAGGTTCATACACTGGCGTTGGTAAATAGACACTTAATGTCTATAGTTATATATATATATATATATATATATATATATATATATATATATATATATATATATATATATATATATGGACCATAAAACAATGGCGCATATATACAACTTCCGGCCGGGTAACAGCGGGGGAGTGTCTTTTACATCAAGAAAATAACAGAACTTGTTGCTCACGTCCAGCATCGTTCCATTCTTGCTTTTGATTTCTGTGTACACTAGTTTACCGGTCAGCCGTCACTATGGTAATTTTTTATTGTCTATTTGACAGAGATGTGTTAGTTACAAAAACTTGTCTTTCGCAGCAACAGAAATAAACTAATTTTATGATTATAATAATATAATATGAACTTCCTGCTCTTCTTTGGCTAACCGGTCAATGACGATGTCTGGCTGACTCGGCCATCAGAGATCAGTTGCCATCTCCACATCGAAGGATGGGTGTAATAGCCTCCATCATGCGCTGTGCCACGTCTCAGTGATACTCTTATGCAGGCTTCTTTCAGTCCTCTCCATGTTGTCCTCTCATAGTATGATCAAAGGGTATCTTTATACTGTGTAGATAGCGCCAGTACCATGTCTGCAGCAGTGGAATTATGAATACAGTTTCATCCTTCCAACATAGTTTCAGTTCAGCTGCAAGCAGTCAAGCGTATCTACTAGCGCTGCTTCACCATGATTACCACTGAATGGACATAGAATACAATGACTAGGAAACACAAGGAAAGGAAAGGCATCCAGACACAATGACACAGCTGAACAGTTCAGCCAAAGTCTTGATACAACAAACAATACACCAAGACCAAGTTACTTACCCAGAAAAACAAATGAACATTCTGGGACAAAAAAAGTCACCCACATGATGAAACAACATAATATTCAACACACAGAGACAGGTAGACACACAACATACAGAGACTGGTAGACACACACTAAGAAAGAGAGGAAGAAAAGAAGAGAGATTCAGACAGACAAAAACAGCTAGCAAAAAAAAATTGGGGACACATATGCATAGACAAAGGAAACAAAAACAGAAATAGAGTTGGAGGGTAAATGCAGGTTTTGATGACTAACTGAAGATTTCTGTTCTGCAGTCAGCGAATGTGAGTGTGTGTGAGATGTCGCAGGAAGTCATAGATCTACTCAAGAAGTTTAAGCTGAGGAAGGAAAAGAATATTGCTGCTATTGTCTGTACGTATTATAAACTTTTTTTTTTAAATTCATTATGGTGTGTGTGTGTGCTATCGTCAAACAGTTCTTGATTGCAAGGTCAGTCTCAGGCAAGATTGACCCTTAAATCTGAGTCAGTTTGTAAATAACATTTGCCACTTTACCAGTATGAATTGAAGTAGTAATAGCAGTAGTAGTGGTAGCAGCAGCAGCAGTAGTAGTAGTAGCAATAATTAAAAAAATATCCTGTTCAACCCGTCAGGGGGTTATAATTAGGATATACAGTTGTAATGAAGTGGTACTTTGTTTTTAATCCGCCCCAAAGGAAATCCAGGAGTTCCCGGGAAAGTCCAGTCTTCCAGGAGTGAAATGACATTACTTCAGTTGTTTTCCTAATGTCTTGTATGGTGTTGATATAATGTGCACAAAATAGTGTGCACCGTGTGCACAAACTGTGCAACTTTGTGCGAAGGCTATTATTGGGGGCCCTAGAGATCTGGAGAGAGTGGAATACAGTAACTGTTGATCATCACCGACTTTTGTTGCAGTGGCCACAATAGAACAGTCTCAGCAAGAATGGTTGTGTAGAGACCAGCATATTTAATGTGTCTGTGCCACATAAACTCACACATGAGTCCAAGAGATGCCCCTTGTTTCTCTCATCTGCCTTTCTCCGCATGCGCTGGATGCACCTGTGGTGCGGTCAACAAAGTTGTGGGAGTGGTTGAATGTGAGATGTGTCAATCCTATGGTGCAGTCAGCAAAGTTGTGGGAGAGGTTGACTGTGAGATGTGTCAATCCTGTGGTGCGGTCAACAAAGTTGTGGGAGTGGTTGACTGTGAGATGTGTCAATCCTGAAATATTGTCAGCGACAACACCATGACATGATTATTGGAACAGAGTCTGACAGAATGTAATGTAGCTACGATGCTAAAGAAAAGCAACACTGTTCTACTTGTCATGAGCAATGGCTGCCAGTCATAATCGATTGCTGCCAGTCATGGGCGATTGCTGCCAGTAATGGGCGATTGCTGCCAGTCATGGACCATTGATGCCAGTCATGGGCCATTGATGACAGTCATGGGCGATTGATGCCAGTCATGGGCCATTGATGCCAGTCATGGGCCATTGCTGCCAGTCATGGACCATCGATGCCAGTCATGGGACATTGATGCCAGTCATGGGACATTGATGCCAGTCATGGACCATTGATGCCAGTCATGGGCCATTGATGCCAGTCATGGGCCATTGATGCCAGTCATGGGCCATTGATGCCAGTCATGGGCCATTGATGCCAGTCATGGGCCATTGATGCCAGTCATGGGCCATTGATGACAGTCATGGGCGATTGATGCCAGTCATGGGCCATTGATGCCAGTCATGGGCCATTGATGCCAGTCATGGGCCATTGATGCCAGTCATGGGACATTGATGCCAGTCATGGGCCATTGATGCCAGTCATGGGCCATTGATGCCAGTCATGGGCCATTGATGCCAGTCATGGACCATTGATGCCAGTCATGGACCATTGATGCCAGTCATGAGACATTGATGCCAGTCATGGGCCATTGATGCTAGTCATGGGCCATTGATGCCAGATCAAGTAAATTCATGACAGAGAAATATACTGACCACTGTACTGTAAGGGCTGTCAGCTTAAAAAGACAGGCTGTCAAATATACTGACTACTGTAAGGGCTGTCAGCTAAAACAGTCAGCTTTCCACATCAAGTCATTTTAACTGATAGTCATCTTGTGCCACTTATATTTTCTGTTTGTACTTGTCTCATTCTCACTGCATGTTTCCAGAAGATTTACCTGCTTGAACCTGGTGCCTTCGGTAAATAAATGCTGGTCACTGATATGGAGCTTAGAGAAAGAACTAGGCAGCTTCTAGCAAATCTTGAGGTGAGGAAAATACACTGCTACTTGGGAGCATACTGACATAAAACATGATCAGAGGATGAGAAAGTACTTTTTTTTTGGAACCCACATTGAGAGGGACATACAGAGAAGCCTAGAATCCCTGCAGAATTAGAGACAAGATGTATAATATTTGGACAGCATGAAATGAACAGCAGGAGATGGCAAAAAGTTGCTTGAGAACTTATGCTCTAATAGAAAATAGGAAAGTTGCCTCCTTGCTGGTGCTGTTGTCACAAGCTGATGGTTTAGGGAATGATTAAAAACAAAACAGATAACAAAAATCCCATGACCTTAACTGGGGTTTGAACCCGACTCTCTTGCATGACGGCCCATATTTTTAACTGCTTGATCAGATGTACCGACTCTGCACCACCCAGACTAACTTGCAAATAAGAAAACCTCAGAATTTTTAGAGCATAAATCGATTCTGGTAACCGTACATCTTCACCAGAGTTTTAAAGAGTTTGTGCACTGAGCTCGGATTCTGAAACTGTGCTTTATTGCAGGAGGTTGGATGGTGAATGTTTTCTGTTATTAGTGACCGCATGATCTTGTACAGATGAGGTCACACAATGATTAACTTGCTATTGGTTGTTCTCTCACAGTGAAGATTGACAAAGCTACCCTGAAGATTATCATTGATGAGCAGTTTGAGGTAAAGACATTGTCAATTATTGCATCTCCTTCTTCAAGCTAGTGTATTGCCTTACTATAGAGACATCTGACTGATCAACACTTCACTGGTACAGGATGGTTGACTGATTATACCTCTGGTACAGGATGTTTGACTGATTATATATCTCTGGTACAGGATGTTTGACTGATTATATATCTCTGGTGTAGGGTGGTTGACTGATTATATATCTCTGGTGTAGGGTGGTTGACTGATTATATATCTCTGGTACAGGGTGTTTGACTGATTATATATCTCTGGTACAGGGTGGTTGACTGATTATATATCTCTGGTACAGGGTGGTTGACTGATTATATATCTCTGGTACAGGATGTTTGACTGATTATATATCTCTGGTACAGGGTGTTTGACTGATTATATATCTCTGGTACAGGGTGGTTGACTGATTATATATCTCTGGTACAGGGTAGTTGACTGATTATATATCTCTGGTACAGGGTGGTTGACTGATTATATATCTCTAGTACAGGGTGGTTGACTGATTATATATCTCTGGTGTAGGGTGTTTGACTGATTATATATCTCTGGTGTAGGATGGTTGACTGATTATATATCTCTGGTACAGGGTGGTTGACTGATTATATATCTCTGGTGTAGGGTGGTTGACTGATTATATATCTCTGGTGTAGGGTGGTTGACTGATTATATATATCTGGTGTAGGGTGGTTGACTGATTATATATCTCTGGTGTAGGGTGGTTGACTGATTATATATCTCTGGTGTAGGGTGGTTGACTGATTATATATCTCTGGTACAGGGTGGTTGACTGATTATATATCTCTGGTACAGGGTGGTTGACTGATTATATATCTCTGGTGTAGGGTGGTTGACTGATTATATATCTCTGGTACAGGGTGGTTGACTGATTATATATCTCTGGTGTAGGGTGGTTGACTGATTATATATCTCTGGTGTAGGATGGTTGACTGATTATATATCTCTGGTACAGGATGGTTGACTGATTATATATCTCTGGTACAGGGTGGTTGACTGATTATATATCTCTGGTACAGGGTGGTTGACTGATTATATATCTCTGGTGTAGGGTGGTTGACTGATTATATATCTCTGGTGTAGGGTGGTTGACTGATTATATATCTCTGGTGTAGGGTGGTTGACTGATTATATATCTCTGGTACAGGATGTTTGACTGATTATATATCTCTGGTACAGGATGGTTGACTGATTATATATCTCTGGTGTAGGGTGGTTGACTGATTATATATCTCTGGTGTAGGGTGGTTGACTGATTATATATCTCTGGTACAGGGTGGTTGACTGATTATATATCTCTGGTACAGGATGTTTGACTGATTATATATCTCTGGTACAGGGTGGTTGACTGATTATATATCTCTGGTACAGGGTGGTTGACTGATTATATATCTCTGGTACAGGGTGGTTGACTGATTATATATCTCTGGTACAGGATGTTTGACTGATTATATATCTCTGGTACAGGGTGGTTGACTGATTATATATCTCTGGTACAGGGTGGTTGACTGATTATATATCTCTGGTACAGGGTGGTTGACTGATTATATATCTCTGGTGTAGGGTGGTTGACTGATTATATATCTCTGGTGTAGGGTGGTTGACTGATTATATATCTCTGGTGTAGGATGGTTGACTGATTATATATCTCTGGTACAGGGTGGTTGACTGATTATATATCTCTGGTACAGGGTGGTTGACTGATTATATATCTCTGGTACAGGTTGGTTGACTGATTATATATCTCTGGTACAGGGTAGTTGACTGATTATATATCTCTGGTTTCTGATTTAATCTTCTTCACTTTCTCCAGTTGCTTCATTGACGTGGAGGGGGTGGGGGGGGGGGGGTGTAAGGATCTTCCAAGTGCTCTTCCTAATGTCTTATGCAGGTTGATCTTCATTTTCTGAAGGCCATTTTTTTATAATTTGCGTTGTCTTCCCCTTGCTTAATATCCATTCTGTCTCTGCCTTGTGGCTTTCTGTGGCAGTTAGTACCAGGCCGTTCTAATCAGATGGATAGACCATCCCATCTGCTGTTCTTTAATAAACTTTGACCGGTTTCAAGCCATCTCCTAATTTCTTCATTTTGAATGTTAACTATTCTTGTTGCTCCGACAGCTCTCAGAAAGCATCTCATTTCTGCTGTTATAATTTTGTGCTTTTTAGTTTTAGTAAATGTCCATATTTGATACTGATAGCCTAAAAGTAGCCAGAGAATAGTTCTGACTAAAATCTTCCTTGTCTACATCTCTGTGTCCAAAGCGGTGTTTGTTGTCCCCAGACCTGGTTTGTGTTTGTAGTTCCTGGACTTGGTTTGTTTTAGCACATTGTGTGTTGATTTCTCTATCTATCCTTCCTTCCTTCCTTCCTTCTGATGTAAAAACCGACTTAATATTTAAATTCACATCTTTGTGTTGGTTTGGATAGATACATTAACACAAAGTTTTTTTCTTTATTTCTAGTCAAAGTCTTGTATAGCTAGAGAAATGGTTTCTATGGTTTTCCTAGTAGTAGATATTTGAAGAGTAATGTACAGAAAGGGCAGGGAACCCAGATGTTCAACTATTTCTGGGCAGAGCTGAACACTCACTTGTCCTCATAGCGTGTCTGTGTCAGAGATAATCTGTCCTGATAGACAGCAGTGTCAGTGTCAGAGGTCATCTGTCCTCATGGCAGTGTCAGAAGTCATCTGTCCTCATGGCAGTGTCAGAAGTCATCTGTCCTGATAGCCAACAGTGTCAGAGGTCATCTGTCCTGATAGCCAACAGTGTCAGAGGTCATATGTCCTGATAGCCAACAGTGTCAGAAGTCATCTGTCCTCATAGCAGTGTCAGAAGTCATCTGTCCTGATAGCCAACAGTGTCAGAGGTCATCTGTCCTAATAGCCAACAGTGTCAGAGGTCATCTATCCTGATAGCCAACAGTGTCAGAGGTCATCTGTCCTGATAGCCAACAGTGTCAGAAGTCATCTGTCCTCATAGCAGTGTCAGAAGTCATCTGTCCTGATAGCCAACAGTGTCAGAGGTCATCTGTCCTGATAGCCAACAGTGTCAGAGGTCATATGTCCTGATAGCCAACAGTGTCAGAAGTCATCTGTCCTCATAGCAGTGTCAGAAGTCATCTGTCCTGATAGCCAACAGTGTCAGAGGTCATCTGTCCTGATAGTTAACAGTGTCAGAGGTCATCTGTCCTGATAGCCAACAGTGTCAGAGGTCATCTGTCCTGATAGCCAACAGTGTCAGAGGTCATCTGTCCTGATAGCCAACAGTGTCAGAGGTCATCTGTCCTGATAGCCAACAATGTCAGTGATCATCTGTCGCGATAGCCAGGAGTTACAGTCAGTGTCAGAGGTCATCTGTCCCGATAGCCAGGAGTTACAGTCAGTGTCAAAAGTCATCTGTCCCGATAGCCAGGGGTTACAGTCAGTGTCAGAGGTCACAAAGCATTTCTGCACACAGTACTGGAAAAAACAGAGAAAATTGTCACAGTATCTTGCCAAGGATAACTTTATCTGCAGATCACACATCTGGAATGGGGGAGGAGTAATATTTGTAAAAACTTCAGACCAGTCAGCCTCTGATAACCTGTGTTATTTGTATTTGTATTTCATTAGGATATTGCCATCGCTGACCTGCAAGATGAGCTCCCACCCCAGCAGCCCAGATACGTGGTCCTCAGTTATGTATACAAGCACGATGATGGTCGAGTCTCCTACCCACTGCTCTTCATCTATGTCTCACCACAAGGTTAGAGAGTGATCTTTCAATCTTTGATCTTCTGTGACAACGTTGTATTTTTGCTTCCAAATCAGGCATCTAGTTTCATATTGTATGTAATTATAAAATTGTAATGTATCATATTAAGAACATTATTTTTAATCTCATCTTATCGTTGAATCTAACATCTAACATATAGTCTGCAGAAGATTTTAAAAGCCACAAAGATCCAGGATTTTAGAGGCATTTTTCAACAGAACAAGAAAACACTGTACAGATGTTTCTGAGGGTACATTGTTACCTCAGCATGACACACGATAGTGGTGATAATGAATCATCACTATTGTATAATGAGACCAAATTTGTGTGTTTAAATATTGATATTAGATGGCTTGATATTTAGTTGTCATCTGATAACGGAGCAGAAAAGTATAACATTTAATGTGATTGTATAAGTTCACAAGCTGGCTGATGCTCGGCAAAAGGCGAAACGGATATACAGTTGGACAGTTCCTGGTACCATTGAATTAGAATTCTTTGTTTGCTGCTGAAGATGGGAATGGAATGCTTATGGGAGTGTCCTGAGTGCTATGACGTCAATTCTTAATTCAACACAAGCTTGATGTTGCTAGTGTTTATGGGATCATTATATAGGAGAGCTGCGACGTCCATGACTTAGGTGTTGAGAGACCGACTCGCAATTCCATTGTTTTGCGATCGAAACCCACTGCTGGCTGTGTGGATTTTTATCGTGGTATGGGATGTCGCAGGTTGACCCAGCCTGAAATGGGTACCAGGATGGGCTGTCCTGTAGAAGTAAATACGGCAGGCGTAAGGCTGACCACATTACCCACCCAGTGCCGAATGGTCTGTAAAAATATGGGGTGCTCTTCCCATATGCTCAATGTGCCTAAAGGCATGAAAAAGGGATCTTTACTTACTATATATGAGAGCTGAGGATTTATAGCTCAGCTGACAGAACTCGCACCTCAAAATCTCACCAGATGCAGAGATTTTAACTGTGGTCAGATGATGGATGCTCGGCAAGTGCCTTCTGGAAGTGCAGTCATGTGGGAAACAAAGCACATATACAAGTGTTTGCATCCTTTGTTTTGCACATATAGAAGTGTGTGGGTGTTTCTACTGTCCTACAACTGCAACTACAAAACAGTTTATGTCTGGTATGGTAGTCTTAGTTTCAGCTTCAAAGCAAACGGGTCACCCTATCTTTGCTTCGCTCCTGTGCCAATGAAAAACACACAGAATGTTTATCACAGTCCTTTGTGGAAAGATTGACAGACTGCTGTCTCAGCATATCAAGCATACACACGCATTAAAGCATACATTAGCCGTCCGAAGTGCTAACACAAACAGTCCGACATTTGAAATTCAGTTCATCATTGATGGTAGCAGAAGCCACCAAAAGATCAGCAGTTGCCCACAAGATCAATTTTAATCACATACGGGCACTACCAACATTGCGACAACAGGATTCGAACCATTTTCTGAATCTACAGTTCACACCACCACGTTGGTCACAGTAGAAAAAACATTCCAAATGAAATCAGCAGCTCACATTGTCACACCATGCATTCAACTCAAAAGCTGGGCGACGAAACTATATCATCTACAAATGGAGAAAAAAATGCATCAGCCACCGTCCGGCAGAAGCAAAAAATTTGCCTCGGCTCCAAACAGTGCCCTGCCTAGCGCCCATTTTGACCGGAAGTCTGAAAAAAAAACAGTTCATGTGTCTAATCTATTTGTATTAGGCATTTTCAGCGTGGTTTATCTTCCTTTTTAATTGATTCCAGTGAGACAGCTAAATTACATGTCTTAAATTTAAAGATACTAAACATCTTGACTGCTAAATGACTTGAATACTCAGTGACATGACTGATTACTTGCTTGTGCTATATCACATGACTGCTAAATAACATGAACAAAAACAATCTGTGATTGCTGTGTTATCTGTGCCACAGTAACTATACCACTTGTATATTCAAACATCCAGGCTGCAGCCCAGAACAACAGATGATGTATGCTGGGTCTAAAACCAAAGCTGTCAAAGATGCTGAGTTTACAAAGGTTTGTATTTGATGTTTGGTTCTATCACACCACAGTAGCACCATGGGCTGGTGGCAGGGGCAATTATTTCTTGACATACTTGATCTTAGGCTGAAGATGTTCAAGTCTGCATGTGCCTGGCTGGCCACCAACTTTCACCCTGACTGTAAATGAGTTCTAGGATCCAGTTGAAATTAGACACGTTCAAAGGCTTATCATTTTGGCATCGAACGTGTCAACTTTTCACTTCAGTCTTCTGGGGGTTCTTCAGTGTGGTCCACATGGCTACATAGACTGTCAACTATTCACTTCTGTCTCCAGTGTGGTCCACATAGCTACATAGACTGTCAACTGTTCACCTCTGTCTTCAGTGTGGTCCACATGGCTACATAGACTGTCAACTGTTCACCTCTGTCTTCAGTGTGGTCCACATGGCTACATAGACTGTCAACTGTTCACTTCTGTCTCCAGTGGGTTCTCCAGTGTGGTCCACATGGCTACATAGACTGTCAACTGTTCACTTCTGTCTCCAGGGGGTTCTCCAGTGTGGTCCACATGGCTACATAGACTGTCAACTGTTCACTTCTGTCTCCAGTGGGTTCTCCAGTGTGGTCCACATGGCTACATAGACTGTCAGCTGTTCACTTCTGTCTCCAGTTTGGTCCACATGGCTACATAGACTGTCAACTGTTCACTTCTGTCTTCAGTGTGGTCCACATGGCTACATAGACTGTCAACTGTTCACTTCTGTCTTCAGTGGGTTCTCCAGTGTGGTCCACATGGCTACATAGACTGTCAGCTGTTCACTTCTGTCCCCAGTAGGTTCTCCAGTGTGGTCCACATGGCTACATAGACTGTCAGCTGTTCACTTCTGTCTTCAGTGTGGTCCACATGGCTACATAGACTGTCAACTATTCACTTCTGTCTTCAGTGTGGTCCACATGGCTACATAGACTGTCAACTATTCACTTCTGTCTCCAGTGGGTTCTCCAGTGTGGTCCACATGGCTACATAGACTGTCAGCTGTTCACTTCTGTCTTCAGTGTGGTCCACATGGCTACATAGACTGTCAACTGTTCACTTCTGTCTTCAGTGGGTTCTCCAGTGTGGTCCACATGGCTACATAGACTGTCAGCTGTTCACTTCTGTCTCCAGTAGGTTCTCCAGTGTGGTCCACATGGCTACATAGACTGTCAGCTGTTCACTTCTGTCTTCAGTGTGGTCCACATGGCTACATAAACTGTCAACTATTCACTTCTGTCTCCAGTGGGTTCTCCAGTGTGGTCCACATGGCTTCATAGACTGTCAACTATTCACTTCTGTCTCCAGTGTGGTCCACATGGCTACATAGACTGTCAACTGTTCACCTCTGTCTTCAGTGTGGTCCACATGGCTACATAGACTGTCAGCTGTTCACTTCTGTCTCCAGTGGGTTCTCCAGTGTGGTCCACATGGCTACATAGACTGTCAACTATTCACTTGTCTCCAGTGTGGTCCACATGGCTACATAGACTGTCAACTGTTCACCTCTGTCTTCAGTGTGGTCCACATGGCTACATAGACTGTCAGCTGTTCACTTCTGTCTCCAGTGGGTTCTCCAGTGTGGTCCACATGGCTACATAGACTGTCAACTGTTCACTTCTGTCTCCAGTGGGTTCTCCAGTGTGGTCCACATGGCTACATAGACTGTCAGCTGTTCACTTCTGTCTCCAGTGGGTTCTCCAGTGTGGTCCACATGGCTACATAGACTGTCAGCTGTTCACTTCTGTCTCAAGTGTGGTCCACATGGCTACATAGACTGTCAACTGTTCACCTCTGTCTTCAGTGTGGTCCACATGGCTACATAGACTGTCAACTGTTCACCTCTATCTTCAGTGTGGTCCATATGGCTACATAGACTGTCAACTGTTCACTTCTGTCTCCAGTGGGTTCTCCAGTGTGGTCCACATGGCTACATAGACTGTCAGCTGTTCAGTTCTGTCTCCAGTGGGTTCTTCAGTGTGGTCCACATGGCTACATAGACTGTCAGCTGTTCACTTCTGTCTCCAGTGGGGTCCACATGGCTACATAGACAGTCAACTGTTCACTTCTGTCTCCAGTGTGGTCCACATGGCTACATAGACTGTCAGCTGTTCACTTCTGTCTTCAGTGTGGTCCACATGGCTACATAGACAGTCAACTGTTCACTTCTGTCTCCAGTGTGGTTCACATGGCTACATAGACTGTCAACTATTCACTTCTGTCTCCAGTGTGGTCCAGATGGCTACATAGACTGTCAGCTGTTCACTTCTGTCTCCAGTGTGGTCCACATGGCTACATAGACTGTCAACTGTTCACCTCTGTCTCCAGTGTGGTCCACATGGCTACATAGACTGTCAACTGTTCACCTCTGTCTCCAGTGTGGTCCACATGGCTACATAGACTGTCAACTGGAACTGATACGCTAATTGTGTGTCAAAACAGTGATATCAAAGGCCAGCACTGTGATAACATTCCAGATGTCACAAGGAAAATATTGACAAAAAAATTACTTGGAGATGAACTAGTGTTTCATGGTTTTCTTGTTGTTGCCTTTTCTATTTTTCTGTGGGGGGGGGGGGGGGGGGGTGTGTTAAAGTCTTCACGTGACTGTTGAGAGGTTTCTGAGATGCCAAGACCTGGGAGAGGTCCACCGAAATCAACATGGTGTGCAAGGTTGCTACTGGAACATTTCTGGATATTAATGTTATGGTGTTTTGTTGACGACAGACAACAACCTAATGTCCAGACAGAGAGGGCCATGATATGACCTGACATAAACATGATGTAATATCTGTCCAGACAGAGAGGGACATGATATGACCTGACATAAACATGATGTAATGTCTGTCCAGACAGAGAGGGACATGATATGACCTGACATAAACATGATGTAATATCTGTCCAGACAGAGAGGGACATGATATGACCTGACATAAACATGATGTAATGTCTGTCCAGACAGAGAGGGACATGATATGACCTGACATAAACATGATGTAATGTCTGTCCAGACAGAGAGACACATAGGACATGATATGACCTGACATAAACATGATGTAATATCTGTCCAGACAGAGAGGGACATGATATGACCTGACATAAACATGATGTAATGTCTGTCCAGACAGAGAGGGACATGATATGACCTGACATAAACATGATGTAATATCTGTCCAGACAGAGAGGGACATGATATGACCTGACATAAACATGATGTAATATCTGTCCAGACAGAGACACATAGGACATGATATGACCTGACATAAACATGATGTAATATCTGTCCAGACAGAGACACATAGGACATGATATGACCTGACATAAACATGATGTAATATCTGTCCAGACAGAGACACATAGGACATGATATGACCTGACATAAACATGATGTAATATCTGTCCAGACAGAGACACATAGGACATGATATGACCTGACATAAACATGATGTAATATCTGTCCAGACAGAGAGGGACATGATATGACCTGACATAAACATGATGTAATATCTGTCCAGACAGAGAGGGACATGATATGACCTGACATAAACATGATGTAATGTCTGTCCAGACAGAGAGGGACATGATATGACCTGACATAAACATGATGTAATGTCTGTCCAGACAGAGAGACACATAGGACATGATATGACCTGACATAAACATGATGTAATGTCTGTCCAGACAGAGACACATAGGACATGATATGACCTGACATAAACATGATGTAATGTCTGCCCAGACAGAGAGGGACATGATATGACCTGACATAAACATGATGTAATATCTGTCCAGACAGAGAGGGACATGATATGACCTGACATAAACATGATGTAATGTCTGTCCAGACAGATAGACACATAGGACATGATATGACCTGACATAAACATGATGTAATTGATGTCTGCTCAGGTGTTGGAGCTGAGAAGTCTAGAGGAGCTCACAGAGGAAAGTATCCTTGAGAAACTCAAGCAGTTCAAGTAGATCTCCTGATGGCCACTGGGGAGATGTCAGCAAGAGTACAGGACTGTCAGCAGTGACAGAGGCACTATGTGGTTGTCAGTCACAGCTAGCCTGACTGTGTGCTTTATTTGCTGATCTTTGACTGTACAAGTCTGTGTAGCACTGTGTGACTGTACAAGTCTCCATGTGCTTGTACAAGTCTGTGTGTGATTGTAGTGATAGTGTGTGTGGTTGTACATGTCTGTACATATGGAATTGTACAATTGTGTGTGCTAGCACCTGTGTGGTTGAAATCTGAACTGTGTAGAGACTGTCAGAATGACTACACATAGAGACTGTATCATTTTATATTATCAGTGAGTGCTCTTATTCTTTCTGTAGCATTGCAACATTTGTGTTGCACTGTCAGATGTTCATCTTTGACACATGTCACTTGTATGCATTACTGTACAAATTTGCCTTTACTGTGCGATTCATATTGCTGTTTTTTACTGCTAGAAAAGTGTGCTCATAGACAGCTCCTAGACAGCTCATAGACAGCTCATAGACAGCTCCTAGACAGCTCATAGACAGCTCCTAGACAGCTCATAGACAGCTCATAGACAGCTCCTAGACAGCTCATAGACTGCCTGTGAGTTTCTGTTGTCAGTCCCTGTGTTTGTTCTGATTGTAATAGTTATTATCTGTTTAAAATGTGTTTGACAAGATGCTGACGTGACGTTGTTGCACACAAATATTGTCAGTGCCTAATGTATTACTTGTCACATCTGTTTTGCTTCTTCTGAATGGAGTTGTTTTATCATGTATTTTCATTGCTTCTTGTCTTTTTTGTTCAGTAATTTATTTACTGTTGTGTTCTTTATCCTATTTTTAAAACTATATAGAGCCTTTGGTGGTCTAGTAGTTAGTGCACTCACTCACTGATACGGTGGCTCTTGCTACCAACCACACAGGATGACTGCCAAGGGGCCTCCCTGTTTTCATTTGGGTTAGGACTTTTTGAAAACTGACTTGGGAATCGAAGTCAGCCCAGCCTAACATGGGTACCAGCCAGGGAAGTCAAGGTGGCCAGCATGGCATTGGTGATGTGGTCAGTATGACAGTAGAGCCCTTGCCTCATCACCCACCAAGTAGCAGTTAGTCTATTAATATATGTGGCTTGCACTCTATAGCCCTCACTGGCACTCTATATCCTGTCTGCTTCATTTACTGGCACTCTACAGCCTGTCTGCTTCATTTATTGGCACTCTACAGCCTGTCTGCTTCACTTATGAGTTCCTTATTGGCACTCTACAGCCTGTCTGCTTCACTTAACAAAGTCCCTCACTGACACTCTACAGCCTGTCTGCTTCACTTATGAGTCTCTTATTGGCACTCTACAGCCTGTCTGCTTCACTTAACAAAGTCCCTCACTGACACTCTACAGCCTGTCTGCTTCACTTAACAAAGTCCCTCACTGACACTCTACAGCCTGTCTGCTTCACTTATGAGTTCCATATTGACACTCTACAGCCTGTCTGTTTCACATATGAGTCCCTTATTGGCACTCTACAGCCTGTCTGCTTCACTTATGAGTCCCTTATTGGCACTCTACAGCCTGTCTGCTTCACTTATGAGTTTCTTATTGACACTCTACAGCCTGTCTGCTTCACTTATGAGTTCCTTATTGGCACTCTACAGCCTGTCTGGTTCACTTATGAGTTCCTTATTGGCACTCTACAGCCTGTCTGCTTCACTTATGAGTCCCTTATTGGCACTCTACAGCCTGTCTGCTTCACTTATGAGTTCCTTATTGACACTCTACAGCCTGTCTGCTTCACTTATGAGTTCCTTATTGGCACTCTACAGCCTGTCTGGTTCACTTATGAGTCCCTTATTGGCACTCTACAGCCTGTCTGCTTCACTTATGAGTCCCTTATTGGCACTCTACAGCCTGTCTGCTTCACTTATGAGTCCCTTATTGACACTCTACAGCCTGTCTGCTTCACTTAACAGAGTCCCTTACTGACACTCTACAGCCTGTCTACTTCACTTATGAGTTCCATATTGACACTCTACAGCCTGTCTGCTTCACTTAACAGAGTCCCTCACTGACACTCTACAGCCTGTCTGCTTCACTTATGAGTTCCTTATTGACACTCTACAGCCTGTCTGCTTCACTTATGAGTTCCTTATTGACACTCTACAGCCTGTCTGCTTCACTTATGAGTCCCTTATTGGCACTCTACAGCCTGTCTGCTTCACTTATGAGTCCCTTATTGGCACTCTACAGCCTGTCTGCTTCACTTATGAGTCCCTTATTGGCACTCTACAGCCTGTCTGCTTCACTTATGAGTCCCTTATTGGCACTCTACAGCCTGTCTGCTTCACTTATGAGTTCCTTATTGACACTCTACAGCCTGTCTGCTTCACTTATGAGTCCCTTATTGGCACTCTACAGCCTGTCTGCTTCACTTATGAGTTCCTTATTGACACTCTACAGCCTGTCTGCTTCACTTATGAGTTCCTTATTGGCACTCTACAGCCTGTCTGGTTCACTTATGAGTCCCTTATTGGGACTCTACAGCCTGTCTGCTTCACTTATGAGTCCCTTATTGGCACTCTACAGCCTGTCTGCTTCACTTATGAGTCCCTTATTGACACTCTACAGCCTGTCTGCTTCACTTATGAGTTCCTTATTGACACTCTACAGCCTGTCTGCTTCACTTAACAGAGTCCCTCACTGACACTCTACAGCCTGTCTGCTTCACTTATGAGTTCCTTATTGACACTCTACAGCCTGTCTGCTTCACTTATGAGTTCCTTATTGACACTACAGCCTGTCGGCTTCACACAACAGAGTCCCTCACTGGCACTCTACAGCCTGTCTGCTTCACTTATGAGTTCCTTATTGACACTCTACAGCCTGTCTGCTTCACTTATGAGTTCCTTATTGACACTCTACAGCCTGTCGGCTTCACACAACAGAGTCCCTCACTGGCACTCTGTAGCTTTATGTCTCAGATGATCAGGTGTTAACTAACTTCATAAAAAACATTACACCTGTTCGCAGTTTTAAACATGTTTTTGTTGTTTGTATGATTGTTAAAGATTTTATGTTTTTGTTGTTTGAATCACTTTTGAGATGCAGTTGCCTGCTTGACCTCACCAAGCCAAATCAACACAGTGGGTCAGTGGGTCAGCTGAGTATGGGTATCAAACTGGAAGTATCAAGAAGAAGCACACACACATGTATTATGATTCACCAGATAAACAAGATTATTGAAGTGCTCGCTGATCTGATTTTCACTTGACAGCTTTTACATTTCATGGACATTGGCAGTAGTCGCAAGGGAGGTATGGCCACATTGGGTGTCCAGCATGGTCTCAAGACAGGTATGGCCACATGGGGTGTCTAGCATAGCCTCAAGACAGCTATGGCCACATGGGGTGTCTAGCATAGTCTCAAGACAGGTATGGACACATGGAGTGTCTAACATAGTCTCAAGACAGGTATAGACACATGGAGTGTCTAGAATAGCCTCAAGACAGGTATGGACACATGGAGTGTCTAGAATAGTCTCAAGACAGGTATGGCCACATGGAGTGTCTAGAATAGTCTCAAGACAGGTATGGCCACATGGAGTGTCTAACATAGTCTCAAGACAGGTATGGACACATGGAGTGTCTAGAATAGCCTCAAGACAGGTATGGACACATGGAGTGTCTAGAATAGTCTCAAGACAGGTATGGCCACATGGAGTGTCTAGAATAGTCTCAAGACAGGTATGGACACATGGAGTGTCTAACATAGTCTCAAGACAGGTATGGACACATGGAGTGTCTAGAATAGCCTCAAGACAGGTATGGACACATGGAGTGTCTAGAATAGTCTCAAGACAGGTATGGCCACATGGAGTGTCTAGAATAGTCTCAAGACAGGTATGGCCACATGGAGTGTCTAGAATAGTCTCAAGACAGGTATGGCCACATGGAGTGTCTAGAATAGTCTCAAGACAGGTATGGCCACATGGAGTGTCTAGAATAGTCTCAAGACAGGTATGGACACATGGGGTGTCTAGCATAGTCTCAAGACAGGTATGGACACATGGAGTGTCTAGCATAGTCTCAAGGCAGGTATGGACACATGGGGTGTCTAGAATAGTCTCAAGGCAGGTATGGACACATGGGGTGTCTAGAATAGTCTCAAGGCAGGTATGGACACATGGGGTGTCTAACATAGTCTCAAGACAGGTATGGACACACAGGATGTCCAGCATAGTCTCAAGGCAGGTATGGACACATGGGGTGTCTAGCATAGTCTCAAGGCAGGTATGGACACATGGAGTGTCTAGCATAGTCTCAAGGCAGGTATGGACACATGGGGTGTCTAGCATAGTCTCAAGGTAGGTATGGACACATGGAGTGTCTAGCATAGTCTCAAGGTAGGTATGGACACATGGGGTGTCTAGCATAGTCTCAAGACAGGTATGGACACATGGAGTGTCTAACATAGTCTCAAGGCAGGTATGGACACATGGAGTGTCTAGCATAGTCTCAAGGCAGGTATGGACACATGGAGTGTCTAACATAGTCTCAAGGCAGCTATGGACACATGGGGTGTCTAACATAGTCTCAAGGCAGGTATGGACACATGGGGTGTCTAGCATAGTCTCAAGACAGGTATGGACACATGGGGTGTCTAGAATAGTCTCAAGACAGGTATGGACACATGGAGTGTCTAACATAGTCTCAAGGCAGGTATGGACACATGGAGTGTATAGCATAGTCTCAAGACAGGTATGGACACATGGAGTGTCTAACATAGTCTCAAGGCAGCTATGGACACATGGGGTGTCTAACATAGTCTCAAGGCAGGTATGGACACATGGGGTGTCTAGCATAGCCTCAAGGCAGGTATGGACACATGGGGTGTCTAGCATAGTCTCAAGGCAGGTATGGACACTTGGAGTGTCTAGAATAGTCTCACGACAGGTATGGACACATGGAGTGTCTAGAATAGTCTCAAGGCAGCTATGGCC